ATATATCATTAAAATGACCAAAGTTAAGGTCCCAAACATAGAACATTTTAGACCAGCAATTAAAGCTCCTATAATAGATATGGAAGTCATATTTCCTTCACTTGATGTCAGTTTTTCAAAAGCAGAATTTTAATCAGATGATGTTGATGATAGAAATTATAAATCAGTGGCAGAAATTAAGATTCCTAAAATGAAAGTACCAGGAGTTGGAGTAGAAAGACCATCTACTGAAATATCTGTAGATGGAACAGAAATTAAAAATTAAAGGTGTGCATAGGAAAATAAAAAGGCTAAAATTTCAAATGGCTAACTTTGGGATCTTGTTTTCTAAAGGAAAAATTCCAGATACTGATATTGGCCTACCCAAGGATGTTGATGTGCCCCAGCTGAAAACAACAACAGATATTACTGATATTGCAGTGGAAGCTCCAACCCTTGAAATGGAGTCTGATGTACCTGGTGAAAAAAAGAAAGTTTTGGAAGAGAAAATGAAAATGTCCCAAATCTTTAGAGTTGATGTGAAGACTGCAGCAGTGGGCATACCATCTGTCGATATTTCTGTCGCACAGTCAGAGGTAAGCACTCAGGATTCACATGCTGCAGCTAAGGAACCAGAAACTAAGGGAGAGGTAAAGTCAGAAAGTTTAGATGGAGAAGAAAAAGGACATTTCAAAATGCCAAAATTCAAATTGCCATCACTGAGCTGGTCCCCTAAAAAGGAAGCAAGCCTTAAAACAAATATAAAAGAACCGCTGGAAGAATCCAAACTGACCATAGTATCAGATGATACAGGCACAGAACCAAAAGTAACTCTTTCACAAGATCAAGGAGTTCATATTGACCAAAATGTAGAAATAGCCACCAAAAAAGGTCAGGTGAAAAGACCTCATATAACTATGCCCAAAATCTCACTGTCTAAGACAAAGCTACCAAGAGCAGAGGTGGATATAGTCGTGGAAGGTGATGGAGCTTCAGTACAAATACCTGACATAGAAAGCAGTTTTACTACAAGAAAAGTAGAAGAAACAGAAATAAGTGTAAAAATGTTGAAAGATGAAATCAAAGAAGAAATCAAAACTTTCCAGACAGATACAGATATTAACTTATCCAAAACTGATATTAAGGTGCCCATGACAAAAAGTTCATTTGAGCAGAAGAGTTTAGAAACAGAGTTCAAAGGTGATGTTTGTATGGACAATGCAAGTATGAAATCTGATGGTACAGAGGGGAAGTTTAGCATGCCAAAACTCAAAATGCCAAATTTTGGAATTTCACATCAGGAAAGTGATGTATCCGAGAGTGGAATCATTTTACCAAAAACAGAATCTGATGTCTCTCAGTTTCAAATGACAACAGAATCTGATAAACTTGGTGGAAAAGCTCTGCCCCTAGAAGTTAAAAATGATGAAGCAAATCCTGAAGAAATTCAGACTGAGGAATCTCAGAGTTGGTTTAAAATGCCAAAATTCAAAATGCCTTCATTTGGCCGAACTTCTTCAAAGACAAAAAAAAGTGATGCTGAAACTGAAGACAGCACTGGAAAAGCTCTTGTCACTGAATTACAAGTTGAAGTAAAATCTCCTGAAGTTGTAACCACATCTCCCCATATGGAACTTGACATTGGAAAAGACATTTTAGAACAAGAAGTCATGCTTCCTCAAGAGGATATACAGTCTAACACTGACCTGTTAGTGGGTGAAGGCAGTTTTTTACAGTCCTCAGACAAAGCTGGCAGGAAACTTAGTGACCTGGAGACTAAAACGTATGCTGATGTAGTTAAACATGGTGCAGAAGGACAAAGTTTGCAAATACATAAAACTGGGTTCATTGGCCCTACATCAGAAATCGCTATCCCAAAGATGGATATTGATATAAACATCCCTAAAAGTGAAATGACCCTTCAGCAACACCAAGTCACATTAGACCCTATGGGAGTGGCTGAGGTACCACCTACTGAAATTACTATGGGAAGGAAAATTGATCCTACTATTTCAGACACAGAGCCTCTGCAAAGCCTTGATACACAACCTGAAGAGATGGGAAGTGAAAAGAAGTCACCAAAAAAGGATACTCAGGGAAAAGAAAGTATATTCAAAATGCCGACATTCAGCGTGCCTTTGTTCGGATGGTCTACCACAAAGAGCAGTGCCATTGTTCCCGGTATTGTATCTGACCTAGAAGAACCTGCTGTTGCTCTTTCCAAAATTTCAATCACAGATGAAGACTTTGAAATTATAGATTATCCAACTGAGGGCTTTGAAAAAGATTTGCCCACAGAAGATGAAGTGAAAGCAGAAGAGAAAGAGAAATCAAGTAAATCAAAAGCATCTAAATTCAAGATACCAAAATTTGCCAATTTGCGCAGTAAATCTCAGGGTGCAGAAATTCAGGTTGATCCACCAAAAATGCAGACTGAGGTATCACTAGTTAAACCTGAAGGAGAGATACCAGGAATCCAAGTTCAGGATAAAAAACCAGGAGATGCAGAAGTAAGTTTTCTTATTCCCAAATTCAAAATGCCCAAATTCACACATATAATTTCTGAAGGAGAAACGCTGACTTCAGAAGAGACAATGGATATAAAACATACTACTACTGATGATATTTCTCAACTGCAGTTCAGGACCATGTTACCTGAAGGGAAAGGAGATACAGGTTATGATATTCAGAAATCAAAAGTCAGAATTACAACACTGTCTGAACCTGCCATTCAAAGACCACTAGTTGGAAGTAAACTCCCATCTACGGACTCTTCTTTTGCAGATACAACAGTGTATATACAAGTGCCAAAGAAATTCAGTGCTGAATTTCTTACAGAGAAAATAGACACCAAAGATGGTAACATTCAGAAGTCAATAGCTAAAATTACAACCCTGAGGGAGCCAGACATTCAAAAAGCACCACTTGAAATTAAACTTCAGCCTGAAGATCCATTTAGTCCTAGTGCACCAGTGCAGGTTCAAGGATCATACATTGAAAGTAAAGAAATAAAGATGGAAGATAAATCTACCTTTGGTTATGGTGATGCTGCTGAAATACAGGAATCTTTCTCCAGTCAAATAGTAAAAGAATCTGAGATTCTTCCATCAGAAGTTAAAACAGCTGCCTTTGGATTTTCACTTCTCAAAGTGAAAATCCAGGAATCACATGTGAGCTTAGATACACCAGTCAAATTATCTTCTACAGAATGTATGGATGAAACATTTGAGGGTAAGGATCATCAACTTTCAGGTTCAGGAGAAACAGCACAAATGTCTGGTTTGGGTAAAGTGAAACCATCTGGTAAGGATAAAGATATAACTTGTGAATTTACTGAAGAAGCATCTTCTGCTACAACACTGACAAAGCTTAAAGCCTTTACAGCTGAAGTACAATCTTCTAGTGAGTTTGCAGAGAGTCATTCTGAGCCAATAGAGATATCTAAATCTGCTGTTGAAATTGCAGAAGAAACTAAATTTACAAGTAGCACAGAAGAGCCCACAGATGAGAAAGAAAAACTTGACAGTAAGAGATCTTCTGGCAGATTTAAACTTTGGCTTCCAAGTATTGGGTTTTCTTCCACTGCTGAAGGCACAATGTCAGATTCAAAACCTGAAGCTCAACAGGAAATTCAGTCTGATGATTCATCCGTATTGGACAGTGATACTGCGAAACAAACTGAAAAAACAGGATGGTTTAGATTTCCCAAGTTAGGTTTTTCATCTCCAACAAAAAAGAGCAAGGAAGCAGACAAAGAAAAGGAAACAGATCCAAAAGAAGGAAAGGATGAAGAAAGTCCAACAGAAAAATCAGAAACTTTTTTTGATGCTCAAGAAACCTTATCACTCAAAGAGAAAGAAGAAAATGAAACCTCAGGTGACATACCATCAGAGCCCATTGTTTCATCTTCAGCAAGAACTGAATTGATACTCTTAGAGAAAGGGAAAGCCGAACCCCAATGCATTCCTGAAGGCTCATCAAAATAAAATTGTTTCTTCCTCCTTATATACATAACAATATTATTCTAAAAATACTTTTAAAAATCAGAAAATAGCATTGCCTCCATTTCAGCAAAATAAATAGAATGTTACCTTAAAATGATCTTTAAAACACTTTATATTGCAGTAGTGTTTATAAGCTCATGGAAGAGTCTTTCATGTCTTCACAGAAACACTTGTTACCAACAATATGAGACAACACGTGCAAGAAAATACAGACATACGGACAGGCCATACCATTGATTAAAGATATCCATAGTTCTAATGAAACCAGCAAAGATCCTTTCTACCAATTTCCATAGAGATGTTCTTTCTTCAGACCTATTTAGAGGAACCAAAGCAAAGCAAGAGATTAAATATACTTTCCTGAAAATTACAATGATTTTGTTTGGAATTATTTGCAGAAAGTACTAAGAAGCTAGTGCCGAGAGAAATAGAAATATATTTCTCCTTTTTTTTAGATTTTATTTTTTTAACTATATTTATGCTGCTATCTTATGAAAAAAAGATCATTATCTTAGAATAGGTATACTTTAGGAGCATTGTAAACTGTAGATAAATGGAAATAAGAATGTAAATGTTATAGCAGTTATTCTTACTTTAAGACTTTGTTCACCCAATACAATTAATTGTGTCAGTTACAGATCTTGCAGCTGGATTTGCACAACATGTTAAATTTGCTTAGTTTTAAGCTTGGTTAATTTTTTTGTAATTGGCATGTGGTATGAACCCAACCCATTTGTACAAATCAAGAAAATGGGTTAATTTGGTAGCCAGCTTAAGCACGCTTTGTAAATAAAGGCTATGAGTCTTGTCTACAGTCCAGTTCAGGTGAATTATTCGGAGCTACAGCAATTGCGTATCTATCATAAATCTAAGTTACCTACTGTGGTAACTTAGTGCCATATTTTCCAGTATGTTGTGCTGGCAAAGCTTCCAACTGATAGATATATCCTGAGCATTTATGTGCCAGAACAGCATAGATAATTCAGGTTGCTTCTGAATTGTCTTTTTTATCAAGGATCTTAATGCTGATATATTAAGATCTGTGTTGGTGCTCCATGTCATGATCATTTGTGTGCATAGTAATCAACATTCACTCCCATGTCGCCACTAGTTGGGAGTTTTCCAATATGCTAAACAAGAATTTAACACTTTCCTGCTTCTCTAGTTTCTTATCAGATACAGTAAAAATAAAATTCTTCATGCAACATAACAGCATTAAGCACTAAATGCATTCAGTTTACAACATGATATTACTGCCAAGTGAATTTCCCCTATTTTAAGTACAACATTTTTAATCACCAAAAGGCAAGATGCATAAGATCAATCTACCTTCATAAAAAGAACCTTCTGAATCAAACAAGATGGTAGTCCTAAACAAGGGTTTGAAGGGGTTTAATATCAAGTACTTCAGTGTGACATGATTGCAAATTGGAATTCAAGGGACTTGAGAAGACAGTAATAGTGTTTGGTGTCATCTTTGAAGTACAAAGTACAAATAGAAGAGGACAAATACACATGGTTTTAAAGGTTTCCTGGAGATGTAAATAGTTATTATTGGATTCTGGATTATATGATTGCTTTTTAGAAATATACAGCTAACAAAGATGATACATACCTATTTAAAAATTATGCTTACTTATGACAAGAATGTAGAATATATTCTGGCTATGCTCCCAATATGGAAATAAAAGCAGTATTGTTTGTATTGTGATAATCACTCTGATTCCAAAGTAATGCTATCCGAGCTAACATGGGGATGTGCTTATCTGAAAATCCGAGAAGTCTTCAATAAAGCTATGCTTGAGTCTTAGGGTCAGGACTCCTAGTGTGTTTATGAAGAGAAGCAGCATGTCCCAGACAGACTTTGGAATGGGAATCACCCTTCCTTAATTCCCCAGTATCATCTCCACTGATGGTATGAAAGCCCACTGTTCTATCTAGCTATAGATTAAACTGATTTAGCAGCCTCTCCCAAGAAATCAGTACAGAGTGTAGTTCTGTAAAACAATCCTTGATCATGGGATTATAATCATGGGTTATGGGGCAATATTTTACCATTCCTTCATGATTTTGCCATTTGGGATTAGTGATTATGGTATCTATTAAAAAACCAGCCATTCATGGTGATGAAATCAGGTTGAGAGGCCTGTGCAGAATGCTCAACGTTCAGGAGCATGAAGGGGACAGAAACCAATGCTCATCCTTCCCTTACAAAGTGATTTAGCATTTACAGAAAGGGAAGCATGGAACTTTGATGTTGTTTTAAACTACACAGACTGGCAAATTCCTCTGGATCATTCTGGTTTTGTTGGTTGGGGCTTTTTAGGTAGAGAAGTTGGAGTGGTACAGTATTTTAAAGCACCATTCAGCAACTTTAAGATGTGTGGACTTTAAATCTCAGAATTCCCCAGCCAGCACATGTTCCCCAGTTTTAAAGGAATGGGCCCCACAATCCTGAGCAAATTTCCCTCTGAAACCATAATGCAATAATTCTCAAACTGTTCTAAAAGAACATAACTTTGTGCTAGAATATATTACAATACAAACTACCAATTCCCTTATACCAGTGTTCACAGGAAAAAAAATCAATTTTACCCTGTCCTTCTATCACAGTGATAGAAAATTTCGTTCCTCCTTCTCCATATAACTAAGCTTTAAGTAAAAAGAATTGATATACAGACAAAAGATGCATTTTCTTCCTGCCTGACCCCTTTTTCACAAAATTCACTTCCCTTCCCACGTATACACGTGCTTGTTTTTTTAATTTTTTAAAAAAAACCTTCCAATGGGACCAAATTTGGCTTTATTTTTTTCAAGCCCTTGCAAATGTCTGTGGGGTAGTGAACTTGGATCAAACCATTACAAGCCGAGCCTAATGCAGAATAAAAATCAAGAACCTAGTAATATACTGTATTGTGAAATGTAGTATCTGCATGTTCAAAAACTAAATTCTGTTCAGGTATAAGACAGCAAACTAACTTGGTGTCTGCTATGAATATTCTTTGCTTTTCATTAATACAACCCAGGGTTTTTCAGACTTCTGTACAATCATAGAAAAAAGTTGTTCTAAAAGTCTCCTTTAAGGAACTTGAAAAACAATAGGCTGCTGCTATTGTGAACAGCAGAAAAATGCTGTTTGGCCACTCCCATATGGGCCATGACATCAATATGGGCTGGTGCAGCAGTAATTAAGGACATCCATTTTGGTTCTCAAGGAGCTTCTGAATTTCGTTTAGAACATTTTAAAAAATATGTTTTGACAGACGTTTTGTAAACATTGCAAATGAGATCCATAAATAATATGAAAGCTAAATTGCTGCAAGTTCGGTATGAGATGTAGCAGATCTAGTTTTACAACATCTGTGACATCAAAAGAAAGAGCATTAAGAAGTCAAGTGTTTGACCAAAAGCAAATACCTCTCTGAAAATGCTTTGAGTAATTCTATAAATTCATGCTTTTAGGGTCTTTCCAGCAGAAGGCAAGGGAAAAAAATCTGGAAATGACAATGAACACAATATACCGCTTAACAACTTTTGGGAAAGTTACATAAATAAATTAGAATTAACCACAATTACCACATAATATGCAATTTGAGGGTGCTATGCGCTCATCCTGGAAATACATCTTCTGCAGAGAAATGATATAATTCATTCATTCAACAGAATTAGCTATATGGGCAAAAATGGGCCTGCTTTAAAGTTTGTTTCAGCCTTGAACTCACTGCAACTGAAATAAAGTGTTATAGAAACATTGTTCGATATTATCTCCTCAGCTCAGTCAGCCTTCTTTTGTCTCTCAAGTTGGAAGCGAATGCTTCTTAATATTTTTCTTAAGATTCCCAGAAGCTATTGCTGTGCTGTGCTATCTTCGGTGAATGTGCTTCCGCAGCCATGTGGGATTGTGGTTCTGGAAAGAATTACTAGGCCGAGTATTGTAATTTATTCTCAGTATTTGGAGGAAGGTTTCTACCCTGAGACTTTGAGAGGACTCTGCATTGTTAAGAGCTGCCTATTCAGGTTTTCTTTACAGGTCTTAAAAAAAAGACAGGCTGTATCATGTCTTTTTAATTTATTATATAAATGGGTAAGGAATGCTTATGAGAATATCAGAGGTATATTGCTTGGGGATATGTCTGTATGTGTACTTTCCTATGTACACGATGCTTTGTTGTTGGCTGAGATTTGATTTATAGTAAATTTAGATTAATTGTGTGAGGCAATGAGGAATATGGAACTGAAAATGAATGTACAAAGGACCAAGTAGTTATGTTTGAGAGGGAAAATGAAATTAATTATAACAAGTTATATATAATGGCCAAAAAAAAATAGAACAAGTAGGCAGATTTGTGTACCCTGTTAGAATGTTTAATACATTTAGAAAAATGAAGGAAGAAATTTTAGGATGTACAATTGCTGGTGGGCAGATAGTGGGTAGAATTGGGTGTGTTGTGGGGGATGAATGTTTGTCAAAGGAGCAAAAGTGGCTCTGTAAAAGAGTGTGAGCCTGTTCACTATGTTATATGAAAGTGAGAGTTGGGTATGTCGGGATGCACAAGAGGAAGTTGAATGCAGTGGGAATGAAGTATTGAAGGTGTGTGAGTGGTAAAACAAGAAGAGATTGTTAGAAATGCATGGGTGACAAATGAACGTGGACTGAAGACCAAACTGGCCACTTTGAAAGAAGTACACTGAGATAATTTAGTGTCATATAGAAAGAAGGAATGAGGATCAAGTTACAGAACAAATACATGAAGAAAGTGAATGGTTCAAAACGAAGGAGAAGTCCAAGAAAGTTGTGGTTGGGGGCGTTTGATGATATTTTCAGAAAGGTGCAGTTACAGTTTACAGAAGAGAAGGCAACGCATGACACAGTTTAGGTGGAAGGATATGGAGAGGTGCAGTGAATGGAGTTAGTATAAGCTAGTTTTAGCTATGTTTCCTTTTCTTCTTCTTATCTCCTATCCTTAATTACTTTGGTTAACTATTTTTTACTCCTTTTCTGTGCTCTGCATAACATGTTCATAGTAGTTATGTATGATACATACATACCTGTGCCTCTAATGAACACTTTGAAGCCTACATTACTGATTTATTGCCACAGCAATGGCTGGATGACATTACAGGTCACTAGTGTGAAAATCATCATTAATTAAACATACACATCCACATCAATATAAAATACTAAAAGCATGTTTTGGGTAACGAAGAGATACCTGAAACTTAATATATTTTTCAACATATTAGTTACATAGTCTGTGTAAAAATAAGTAGCCACAACTAGCTGGAAAAGTCTGGTAGAAATATTTCCTCTCCTTTACTGCATGGTTCTGGCAACCCTGGTTTTGTTATTAGCATTTTACTGAAAATGTCTGGTCTTTCACCAGATAGGTAAATCTTTCTGTATGAATTTTAAAAAATAGAATTAACTAAAAGAAAAAGACATCAGAAATAAATGAGTTAAACAGTTGCCCAAACAAATTTTGGCATTGTTCAAGTATAGGCCCATTCCTAAACCATGATATCATCAAAAGGATGAAAAACTCCACCCTTTTGCATAGTACATGCATTCTGACATTGCAGGCAAATATGGAAAGGGTTGAATTGGTGCTGCAATATTATGGCACACATTTCATTGCTTTCCCCCGGTAGATCTCCAAGAACACCCCCCTCCCCCCCCCCACACACATAATCTATCGTTTTCAGATTCTCTCATCTCCTGTATCCCAACTGTTCTAAGGTTATATGTATTAACATTTCTTGAGATTTCCCTTATCATTTGAAGGGAACTTGTACTTCCATTCCCTGAGGTATCTTGACAGTTTGCAACTAAAATGCTGTCAAAAGAAATTCTGGCATAAAAATAGTCTGCCTAATGTGGTAGATGCTTGCCATATTTCAACCAACTGGTAAAAACATGGGAACGGGATTGTTTTTGCCAGATACTGTACAATCTAGGTGCAATCACTTAATATTACTGTAAAGCCTTCTTGATATTTTAAATAGCAATCAGCTTAGCCTACTGATCATATAACATTCTGAAGGATTTTGAAACAGCAAAACCCTCAAAACATATGTCTTTATTTAATTCCTAGGCTGACACAAGGTATGTTAACAGGTTGGAGAAGGCTTTGATTGGAAGAGACAGCACCACATCATATTCCAATCATTCTCCATTTTATTTAAGTCAAAAGACAGCAGAAAACAATTTCAGTTTCCCAGATTTTAGCTATGCAAATTATTTATAATTCCCTGCCTTATTTTCCATGGGGAACAGTTCTCTCCTCTTCCAACATAACAACCTGTTATCAAAGTGTAGGAGGGAAGCAATACTTTTTCCTACACTCTAACTTTTAGCTCAATGTTCTAACTACAGGTGTCTGAGCATTTTATGATATGAGCTTAGTGTTTCCAGCTCTTGGTTCTTGTGTGTGTGTGTATGTGTATGTGTATGTCTTAGAAAGCAAAGTTACAAAGACATTTATTGGGACCTGTGTATTGTGTTTAATTTTCTGTGATTAAATAGATTTAGGGCCTGCACTGTAACTTCCAAACACAAATTTAAAAAGTAAAACGCACACTTGATTTTAACACTGGGAACTTACATAGCTTTTGTCTGATTTTTTTTTTTAATAAGAGCTGTATTATATTGTATTTCAAAGTACAATTAAAATACAAAACAGAAAGTACAGCATAGAGAGAAGATAGAGCTAAAAGAAAAAGAAACTACAATAGTGCAGATAGATAGAAAATTGAAACAGAAAATGACTTCTGACTATCTCCAATACAGATAGAAATACAAATTA